CCCCAAAACCCCAAAACCCCAAAACCCCAAAACCCCAAAAGGTAAGTTATAAGTTGAAAATTATAAATTGTTATTCTCAAGATTAGTTTAGTATTTTAGCGGGAACTCAGCCTTCAAAGTGGTCTTGGAATACTACCAAAGTGATCTAAGTAATTCATGTTATCTCCACAGAAAAGACTTCATAGGAAAATCAGGAATAAAGTAGTTGAGCACACTGGGAATCGAGAGTTGATGTTTAGACTCTTAGACCAAAACAATCAGTTCTATATTGACCAGAGAGGATACCAATGGAGGCTACAGGCTGTAAATGAAAAGTCTGTTACCTTTAACTGAACTTATCTAGGCTGAAAAGAGACTATTATTGCTATGTGTCAATCTCCATCGCTGGAATTATCCCAGAAGAATACAGTTTATAAAACGAAAGGATACTTCATGTACCACTTCCATGAGCCCATAGCAGATCCAAACTTTGTAGGAATTAAGTGACACGAAGAATTGCCAAAGAAAGATATTATAGATGAAATCTCGAATTTTGATGCATATGAATCAGCAAGAGAGTCCTTTGGGATCAGAGATACTCAAGATCTCCAACATCCTGCATCTGAAGCTTTCGATCAGTACCAATATGATACTCAGATTGAATGAAAAGAACTTTCACAGGGAACTGATCAAGGCACTTGTGGCCTCACACAGACAACAAATGGGTTTATGAACGATTACTTAGAAGAATGTAGCCGGTTCGATACTGACCATAAATCTATATCTTCTGCAGTGCTCTACTCACAGAGCTACTCTTGTGCAAATGGAAAAGGAAATGCTAGACAAGATACGAAAGACTCCTCTGATGAAAATTTAGATAAATCAACAGCAGATAGCAGTGAGAATGAGCATTTGCCACCCAACAAAATGACAATAAATTTTGATAGTATCAGAAGTTTGTTCGAGCTTAAGAAAGAGTTAGATAAGAGAGGTATAAATCTTGAGAATATTCATATGATATTCAAAAGCGGACCTTCCCAAGACCAAGACATGATAAAAGCCGATGCCTCAGAGGCTCATGTTTAGAGTTAATTAATATTAAGAATTTCAAATTTCCCCTTCAATGGAGAAGATTTCAATGGGGTTTTGGGGTTTTGGGGTTTTGGGGTTTTGGGGTTTTGGGG